CTGTTAATCATTGTTATGTATAGTACTCTTTTTACATAGTTAACAAATATACAAATTTTATTTCAAAAAAACTTAAAGTTTGTATGTCTGAAGTCACGGTCAAAATTAGAAGTTTGAATCTCGAAATTCAACTCTGCCATATAAATCGGGACAAAGGGAGTATTAGTAAAGAAAACCTGCATATTGCTCGTTCACACTTATAAGATCTTATGATTTAGTTTCTGAATTTAAATGCCATCTGTGTTCCTGTTTGATGTTCATATGTTGAGTTATAGAATATGCATCCCACATAAGGCATTCTCACAATTTTAGAATTAAACTATAAATATACTGCATTGAAATATTTTAAAACTATAACATTTCACAGCTCATGATAAACGAAAAAAAATAACATAACCGTCGATAAATATTTCAATTCCCCCCAAAAAAAAGTTTACTTTGAAGCAAAATGATATCTCCAGCAACCAATGTGGATGCCAATTGCTTGTTCCATATTGTAACAGGAAAAAAAGGACGAGTATCGTCAGCCACCTGTATGTCGGTCCTTATGACCTCTGCTCCACCTTTTCCCCATAGCTTGTACTGCAAAATTATATATATATATATATATGCTGAACTGAAAGTATCTAATTAAGCCATTAAATACAGAGAGAAAGAGAGAGTACCTGAATTGGGGTGATATTGTGAACAAAAACGAGGAGTTGAACGTACTCGTCGATGTGAGCTGCTGCTTTAGAGAGATCGATTAGAGGACCATAACACACTATTGCCGCCATTTTCTTTCTTCTCTTCTGGTTTTGCTCATGTTTTCTTTCTTCTTCTCTTTTGGGCTCTTCATGACCCGATTTTCATTATTCCCAGCCCGCTACTTCATATGGGTTGGGTTACGATTGAGGGTTGTAGGCCCATTGGAAAACTTATTAGATTTTCATGTGTCCGACACTCCAGGTACGTTCAGATGCATGTATCTCGAGATCTTTAAAGTTAAAATTATTTATGCTTTATTTTATATACATTGTGTCAAAGTGGACTTACATGTAATTATATCGTATACGTACAAATAAATGTATCTAATGTGTATGATTCGTGTGTATGTAACATCTCCCTTCCTATCTCGCTCGTCTTTCATACATGTATCTAGGTGTATCTTTCTTAATATATTGTAGAAAATTCTTAATTAGTGGTGATATATATATATATATATATATATATATATATATTCCAATGAAATTTAGAAAAACTATCTAATTGGACATAAATGCATACCATGTTTACTAATCTACTCTATACTTCAAATAATTACATATCCACTATTTTAATTATGTACCGAATCGGAGTCAGATATATTGAAATGTCGTTAAAATCTATAGCAATATTTGAGCTAATGATAATTATTTAATATCAATAAAAACTTTAATAACTCTTTGTAATGTACATTTTTGTTACTTTTAAAAAAAAAATTATTTTAGTTAGAGTTAAAAACTAATATAACGTTCAATGAAGTTTTAAACCAAGTATTATAGGACTAGACTACAAGACTATGTTACAAGGAAAACATGAGAGTTGAGACTTTTTTTAAGAAAATATTAGATATAATAATAAGGAGCGAGCCTGATGCTTTTAGTGGATTGAACTGATCATTTTATGGCTCGTTCAAATGAAAATATAATCGAAGGAGGATAAAATATAATATTTGGTTTTATATTGAAATTATTATATTCTATTTAGTCAAATAAGATTGATTTGAAATAGTATTGCTGCCATTTAAATTCTCTTTATCAGGAGGTTTTTGATTAAGGATCGATCATTGTACGAAATAAGTGAATTGTTTCAAAATCCTTTCTCTTATAGAAAAAACGACAAAGTATATATTGAGTACTACTTATAATGCGAGTAACTACATATATAATTGAAATTATTTAACCATATATATGTAGACCGCTCATAATTTGTATCCACCTTAACTGTTAAACCTAATTAATCCTCTCAACAACAACTAATTCTGATGATAAATTACAGCTAAGAATTGATTCAATATTGAATGGGAGAAAGACAGGAGAACTAGACATAATTAAATCCACTTAATTAATACTTATCGAGGATATAATAACCCTAGACTGTTACTAGGTTATGTTGTCAAGCGTTATTTAATTTCTCTTATCAGAGCAATATTATTAGTAATTCTGTTACTGTCATATTCTACAATTTTACTAAAAAATGTATACACATCACCCCTCTCAAATTCACTAGTTGAATTATACCATATATATTATTATTGTGATTTTTGAAGTAGTTACTTAACGCAATTAGGATCATAAATAGTAACAGTTGTAAAACAAATAAAATATGCCCAAATTTATACAATATTAGTTAATTAATGATCGATCCGACTCCTCTCCATTTCTCTTCATTCCATTTTTCTCAAGTTTCTCTTCATTCCATTTTTCTCAAGTTCCTATTTGAATTAATGACACATGTCATAGATTAAAATAAATGGTTAAGATTTAATTTTTCAAAGTAAATCTCTAACCATGATTTAGTTAATAAATATATTATATATCAAGTATCAAAATTATTATAATCTCACAATCTTAGCAAAGAAGTATGAAACTATAATTAAACTGTGATAAGATTGTGAGATTATAATAATTTTGATACTTGAAATATAATAT